ACCGGCGCAGCCGCCGGCTGGGCCGGCTATTAATAACGCGCCCGGCTAGCCGGGGTCGCACAGCCATGGCTAGCCCGGAGCCCCTGCGCGGTGGGGACGGCGCCGGGGCCGTGAGGTAGGAGCCAGGGCCCGCGTCGCCGCCCCTTTGGGGAGGGAGTGCTGGGTGGGTTCCCATCCCCCACCTGCCGCCCCCTTCCCCTGGTTGTGGGCAGTGAGTGGACCAGCCCGGGAGGGGCACGGGGCGGAGCCACCCAGGGAAGGGAGATCGGTGGCCTTGGTCCGGGGTCCTGACACCTCTGGTGATCACTGGTAGTTTTTGGTACCCCTTCCACCCACTGCATGGGAATTAACTCCTTCAGGGTATTAACCTTTCAAAACTGACTTGGCCCAACTGGCCAAACCTAGTACAGGTTTTTCTTTATTTCTCATTCGAATGTCAGCTGGTCATGGGGCAAGCATTTGAGAATTCTCTGCATGAAAGCCACTTGGTGCAAGGTTGGGCATCTGCCCAGCTTGAAGTTGAGCCTGTTCACATTGCTTGTACTCATCAGTAAGGCTTGGGGTGGGGACAGAGCTGGAAGGTTTTCTCTCCCAGACCAGCAGTTGGCCTTCACTCTGCCCAACAGCTATCCACATAGTAACTCACCACTGGTTAAGGGCCGGGGGAGACCTGTGGCCAAAGTGTTTGAGTGAATAGGGAGTATTTCTGCTCCAAATCACCCTGTGGCTCAGAGACTTTCCAGTGTATCAAAATGTGGAAGAAGAAATACTTCATGGCACCCCTCCGTTGTCACATGAGGAGACAAAACTGAGCCGGGTCTCAACTCATATATTTGCCTGTATTGCCATATACAGATACTGATAAGCTTGGCATCAGACACATGAACTCTTGCATACCTGATGTCACAGATACTCCCAGTCACAGCCTGATGGATAGCCTTAAGGAACTGTTGGAGTACCCTGGGAACAGGGACAGAGTGGCAGAGGCAGGGAGGTCAGGGGCCCCAGCTCTCTCCGTCTCTGCTTCTTTGTCAGCTCAGGACAGAGGCACCTGGGTGAGGACAACATCTGGTGCCCAGAGTGCAGTGCCAGCCAGCTGGGAAGCCAGGAGGCCTGGGTTCTACACTCGAGTTCTGACACTTGACCTTGTAGCTCAGTTGGTTTCTGCCTGCCTTCCAAGGGCCCCCACCTTGGGGTACAGAAGAGCTAGATTTGTCCCTCAGGAAGTTCACTGTCATCCAGTGGACATGTGCACTTTTGTAACGCAAAGCTACTACTTATGAAGATGAGCTGCATTCAGAATGTCATGAGGACGCAGTGGGGCTTGTTTGGAAACTGGTACAGAGGAGACAGGGTTTGAGGATGAGTAAAAATTTGTTAAGTAAATAGATTTTGTTATTTTTTGGGTCTGGGGATTGAACCTAGTACCTCCTGCATGCTAGGCAGGGGCTCCGCCTCTCAGTTACAACTCCAACCATAGGAAGATGTTTTGACTGCTATGTGCCAAGCTCTTCTTTCAGGCCTCATGCTCACCCTAGGCAGACGGCTAGGGACTTCCAGCTTCTCCAGTTTATCATTACCTACATGTGTTATGGAACCCCAGGTGAGCTTTCATCTCTTTGCACTTTGACTTGCTCATCTATGCAGTGGGGATAACAGATGGGCATTCACCAAGCAAGTGTTCATGTAAGATGCTTAGAATAGTGCCTTGAACATGGTTAAGTATTTCCAAGGTGGAACATGATGCGAGGGCCATCAGCTGGGAGAGCAGGGACTTGCCAGAAGCAGAATGGGTGGGCTCAGGTGGCCAAGCAGGTGACCCTCCCTGGTGCCAATACTTTTACCTTCCCAGGTAGTCCAGGGCTGATTGCTAGGCTAATTGGTATTCAGGAAGTTCCATTTTCCAGCCAGATCCTTCAGATATTGTGGGCTCAGAGTGGGAGGTGTGAAAAGTTAACACATATTTTGGGTTCTCAGGCACTGGGTGGGTTGCAAGGAGTAATGTGAGCTGGGGCTAAAAAAAGGTAAGTTAGTGCCACATCTTAAGACTTTGAAAGCTGGGCATGGTGACACATGACTGTAATCTCAGCAACTTGGGAGGCTAGGCAGGAGGGTTGTCAATGGTTGGAGGCCAGCTGAACTACACAATAGTACCAGGCTACCCAGGGCGTCATAGCAAGACCCTGTCTCAAACAAACATATCCCACGGCTTTGAAACTGTGACACAGAACAACAGTGTCGAAGTCAGTTAATTGTGGCACTGTAGAGAACAGACTGGGCTAAGGAGAGGTGAGGCAGCCCAGTAGATGGCTGGTACAGAGTGAAGTAGAGAGATGACAACTGGGATAGGGCTCTGGCAGTGGGATGGAAGAGGGACTGGAGACATCCTGTCTTAGAAAGATTAGTTCTGCTGGGCATGGTGCCACATGCCTTTAATCCCAGCATTCAGGAAGCAGAGGCAGGCAGATCTCTGTGAGGTGGAGGCCAGCCTGGTCTACAAAGCAAGTTCCAGGCCAGCTGGGGCTACAGGGAGACTCTGTCTCAAAAAGACAAAGAAAATAGATTAGTTCTTGGGTGGTGCATGCCTTTATCCCAGCACTCGGGAGGCAGAGGTAGGTGGATCTTTGAGTTCCAGGCCAATCAGGGTTACATAGAGAAACCCTGTCTGAAAAAAATAAATAAATAAAAAATAAAAAATAAAAAAGATCAGTTTTCAGTGAATTGGTTAAATGGGAACCAGCAGTACAGATTTCTTGCTAATCAACCTGGGGCAGAGGATAGAAATACAGCAAGCTGGGACTAGAGAGATGGCTCAGCAGTTAAGAGCACTGACTGATCTGGCAGAGGACCCGGGTTCAGTTCCCAACATCTACATGGTGGCTAATCAACCGTCTGTAAATCCAGTTTCAGGGAATCTGATGCCCTCTTCTGACCTCTGTGGGCATTGTATGACAAGGGTGCCCTTACCTACATGCAGGCAATACACTCATACACATTAAAAAAAAAAAAAAAAAGAAATACAGCAAGCTTCAAGAAAACTATAATTTGGGGGCAGCTGAGCTTGAGGTGCCAAGACACATAAAGTGAAGATAACCAATACCTACTTCCTCTTTGACCAAAAAAAACCCAAACCTGAATGGACTAGGTGACCACTGAGGTAGTCTTCAAGTTTACGCTAATTTATTTATTTATTTATTTATTTATTTATTTATTTATTTATTTATTTATTTATGTGTGTGTGTGTTGGGGGAGGCGTGTGTGCCATGGTGCAAAGGTAGAGGTTAGAGGACAACTCGTTCTTTTCCTCTCACCATGTGCTTTCCAGGGATTGAACTCAGGTTGTCAGGCTTAGCCACAAGCACCTTTACCCTCTGGGCCATCTCCCAGCCCAAGTGAACATGTGAAGCTGAGGGGAATGGGGCCAGAGAGGTCTGGCACTTTTGTGGTTTCCAGAAGTCTGTTCAGGGTCTCAACTATGTAGCCCAAACTGGCCTCAAACTTGCAGTCATCTTACTTTTCAGCCTTCCAAGTGCTGGAATTATAGGCATGCAGTACCATCACACCTGGAAGAAAAATCTTCATTGTGAATTTGGAGTTAAGAAGGTGCCTAGGGGCTGACATGCAGCCTCATAAGTCTGCCCACTGTTCTGGAGAAAAGTACAACTTCTCCTTTTCTTCTCTCCCTCTTATTTAATTTTTTTTTCTTTTGTAAAAAAGATTTTATTTTAATTACATGTGTGTATGTCTATGTGTAAGTGTGTGCACATGTGTGCAGGTGACTGCAGAGGCCAGAGGTGCAGGATCCCTCTGGAGCTGGAGTTATAGGCAGATGTGAGCCCTAGGACTTGAACTTGGGTCCTCTGGACGATCAGTACATGCTCGTAACTGCTGAGCCATCTCTCCAGCCCCCTTTCTATCTCTTTTCCAAGCATGTTCCCTAACACTTTGAGCTACCCCCAAATTTTGGGTTTCTTACTCTTTCACTAATGTTCCCCTCCCTGCCATGCGGCTGCCAGTCCGCCGTGCCTGAACTCCTCGCAGCTGAAAAGGGCATGACTTTTTTTTTTTTTTTTTTTAACTTCTCTCTTCCATTCTCCTCCTCCAGGCAGCTGCTGAGATTTATAGCTTGCCTTCCTTGAAGGTTTTTCTTTCTTTTAAGCTCTAGTAAAATTGCCCTTAAACTTCAAAGAAAATGGAAATAGGGGGCTGGAGAGATGACTCAGTGGTTAAGAGCACTGGCTGCTCTTGCAATCTGATCTAGGTTCAGTTCCCAGCAATCACATGGTAGCTAACAACTGTCCATAACTCCAGTTCCAGGGGATCCAATGTCCTCTTCTGATCTCCATGGGCATGGCACAACACGGGTGCACTTGTACACATGTAGGCAATATACTCATAAACATAAAATAAAAATAAATAAAATATTAATAAAAGAAAATGAAGAAAGTGCTTAGGGGATGGAGAGATGGCTCAGGGGTTAAAGTACTTGGTGCTCAGGGGACCAGAGTTGGAATCCCCAGCATTCATTTAAATGTCAGGTGGGTGTGTCAACCTGCTTGTAATTCCAATACTTAGAACATGGAGACAGGGGCTCCCTGGAGCAATCTGTTTAGTCACATGAGCTATATGTGTGAGCTCTGAGGTAAATTGAGAGGCCTTGCCTCAATCAATAAGGGAAAGGGAAAGAGGTCTAGGATTACTCCCAACATCAACCTCAGGCCTACACACACACACACACACACACACATTTGCACATATATATGCATACTCTCACACATGGACACCACACACATATACATGACAAAAAAGTTCTTAGGAGCTGGATATGATGACTCATCTGTTATCCCAGCACTTGAGAGGTTGAAACAGAAGAATAAGAAGGATCTATGAGAGTTTGAAGCCAGCCTGGGATGAGTGGTAGAGTTCTAGACCAGCCTGGGCTACAGAGTACATCCCTGTTTCAAAAAAGAAAAAAAAAGGGTTTAGGGCCTATGGGTGAGGCTCAGTGGTAGAACTCATGTTTAGGATGTTGGAGACCTGTAATCCTAGTACTTGGGAGGCAGATGCAGGCGAATCTCTGTGAGTTCAAGGCCAGCCTGGTCTACATAATGAGTTCCAGGACAGCTGGGGCTACAGGGAGGCCCTGTCTACAAAAAAAAAAAAAAACCCAAAAAACACCCTCAAAAAAATTTTAGCTGGGCATGGTGGCACACACCTTTAATCTCAGCATTCTGGAGGTAGGGGCAGGTGGATCTCTGAGTTCAAGGTCAACCTGATTATGCAGTAAGTTTCAGGGCAGTGTATGTGTGTGTGTGTGTGTGTAGGCCTAAGATTGATGTTGGGAGTAATCCATAATGAGATCCTGCCTCAAAATAAGAAAGAAAATAAAACTGGGTACAAGTATGGATCTTTTCCCTATCAATAAAGAAACTTCTTCAAATCCTTTTTTTTTTTTTTTTTTCTTAAAGGTAGGGTCTTCCTATGTAGCCCTGGCTGGCCTGGAGCTCACCATGTAGACCAGGATTGTCTGTAACTCATAGAGCTCTGTCTGCCTCTGCCCCTGCCTTCCAAGTGCAAGGATTAAATGCACACCTGGACAATTTTTTTTTGTACTAAGGATTGAACCTGGGGTCTCATGCATGCTAGGTAAGTGCTTAGTTATATCCTTAGTCCCCGTTTACATATTTGTTTTTTTCTCAATATTTTAAATTTATTTTAAAGTTTTATTTATATTTTTCCAACTCCAAATCTATATTCTATATTTTAGTGATTTTTATTTTATGTGTATGAATGTTTTACCTACATGTATGTAAATATACCACATGCATGTAATGTCCATGGAGGCCAGAAGAGGGTCTCAGATCCTTTGAAACTGGAGCTACAGACAGTTGTTTGTCCCCATGTAGGTGCTGAGAACTGAACCCCAGTCCTCTGCAAAGGCAGCCAGTGCTCTTAACCACTGAGCATCTCTCCATCCCTATTTTTAATGTTTGTTTGTTTATGTATGTATGTATGTATGTATGTATGTATGTATGTATTTATTTATTTATTTTTGTTTTTTTTGAGACAGGGTCTCCCTGTAGCCCCAGCTGACCTGCAACTCACTATGTAGACCAGGCTGGCCTCAAAATCACAGAGATCTGCCTGCCTCTGCCTCCTGAGGAGGGATTAAAGGCGCCACCATGCCCAGCCCTATTTTTAAGTTTTAAATTATGTGTGCATGTGTGGGTAGTTTGTGCATATGAGTGCAGTGCCTGTGTAGGCCAGAAGATGGTACCCTGGAGCTGAAGTTCAGGCAGTTGTATGCTGGGAATTGAACGGGTTCTCTGCAAGAGCAGTATGCCTTCTTAACCACTAAGCTGTCTCTTTAGCCCCTTGTGTTTGGAGATGGAATCTCATGTAGCCCAGGCTGGCCTCCCAATTGGCTGATCCACCTGCCTCTACCTCCCAAGTTCTGTGATCATAGGTGTGTACTACCATACCTGGTTTTAATAAAAAAAAATTTTTTTTTAAATTTGAGACAGAATCCAAGCTGACCTCAAACTCCTTATGTAGTTGAGAATGACCTTAAACTTCTGACCTTCCTGTCTCTACCTTCCAAGATTACAGGCATGCCCCACCACAACACAGTTTTATGTAGTATTGGGATCAAACCAGGGCATCTGCATGCTAGACAAGCACTCTACCAACTAAGCTACACCCTTAGCTCATATTTGTGTGTGTATGTGTATATGTGTTCATGTGTATGCATATATGTGTTCAAGTGTGTGAAGGCCAGAGATTGATGTTGAGTGTCTTCCCCAGTTGCCCCCCACCTTATTTTTTTGTTGTCGTTTCTGTTTTTTGAGTCAGGGTCTCCTTGTAGCCCCAGTTGGTTTGGAGCTTGCTCTGTAGACCAGGCTGGCCTGGATTTCACCAGGGATCCACCTGCCTCTGCTCCCAAGTGCTGGGACTAAAGGTGTGTGCCACCATGCCCGGTTTCCACCTTATATTTTGAAACAGGGCCTCTCACTGAACCTGGAGCTCACCAGTTAAGCTAGACTGGCTGGCCAGCAATCCAGGGACCCTCCTGTCTCTGCTCCCTTAGTGTTGGGATTACAGGTGTGCACCTGGATTTTTACATGGGTGCTGAGGATATGGACACAGGTTCTCATGCTTGCTTGACAAACACTTTACTGAAGAGCCATCTACCTAGCTAACCCCCTTATTTTTAAATGATTAAAATTTTTGTATTATTTTAAATTATGTGTATTCATGTGTGTCTGTCTGTGGCCATGAACATGTGAGTGCAGGTGCCTGAGGAGGTCAGAGGGTTCCCTGGAGCTAGAGTTACAGGTGGTTGTGAGCCTCCCCCTATTTTTTAAAGACAATCTTATGTAGCCCAGGCTAGACTCAAACTCACTATGTAGTTGAGGCTGGCTTGAATTTTTTTTGTGTGTTGTTGTGGTTTTTGGTTTTAGGACACAGTCTTCCTATAGCCCCAGCTGGCATGGAAGTTTCTATGTAGACCAGGCTGGCCTCAACCTCACAGAGATCCATCTGCCTCTGCCTCCTGAGTGCTGGGATTAAAGTTGTGTACCATCATGCCCAGCCTGAAAATTATATATTTCAAAATAGCCAGGTATGGTGATTTACTGTGGTGATGCTGGCACTTGGGAGGCTGAGGCAGGAAGATTGCTGCAAGTTTGAGGCCAGCCTGGGCTACCTAGTAAGTTCTAGGCCAGCCTGGGCTACAGCGTAAGATCCTGTCTCCAGAAACTGTACACATTAAAAAAAAAGTTAGTAGACAGTATTTTATTTCCAACACAAAGAAATGAGACATGTTTGAGGCAGTGACTATGGCAGTTGCCCTTAACTGGCCATTAGTACATTGTTTACAAACATTGAAGTGTCACACTGCACACAGCCACTGTGTATCCATTAAAAATTTTGTTGTTGTTGTTGTTGTTGTTTATTTAGCCTCAAACTTATATATAGCAATTCTCCTGCCTCTGCCTCTTGAGTGCTGGGATTATAGGCATATACCAAAGCATATATGATGCTCAATTAAGCCAGGCATGGTGGGAAAAATAATCTTAAGAATTTTAGTCAAATTTAGCATGTGTCAAGAACACAGTAGAGCAGCTCTATAGGCTAAGGATCTTTGCTGACTCAATGAGAGAATAGTATCCAGAGACATCACTCCTCAAAGCACCTCTGGGGTACAGTTGTCAACAGCAGTCCCAAGGGACAGTAGCAATCTGGAGCTTAGTCAGAAGGAGGAGACCCATTGAGGAGGGCACTGGAAACTTGACATGCATGGAATAATTGAAAGATGTTAAGGCTTTTGCTGGGCATGGTGGCACATGTCTGTAATCACAGCACTAAGGAGGAGGAGGCAGGCAGATTTGTGTGAGTTCCAGGCCTGCAGGGCTACATCCTGAGACTCTATCAACAAACAAACAAGCCCAAACAAAATAACAACAAAACATAAGATGACAGAGTTTTTGGTGTACTGGGGATCAATCCTAAGGCCTTCTACATGCTAAACTATCAAGTTACATCCCCAAACCCCATGTTAGTTGTCTTAAAATTTAAAAATATGGGGGCTGGAGAGATGCTCAGAGGTTAAGAGCACTGGCTGCTCTTGCAGAGGAGTTGGGTTCAGTTCCCAGCACCCACATGGTGGCTAACGACTGTCTGGAACTTCAGTTCCAGGGATCCAATGATTTCTTCTGACCTCCATGGGCACTGCATGACAGGACATGCAGTATGAAGAACACTCATACACATAAAATAAAAATAATAACTATTTTTTTCTTGATTTATTTATTTTTATTTTACATGTATGAGTGTACTTGTTCATGCGGTGCCCTCAGACAGCAGAAAGGGACAACATATCCCCTAGAACTGGGGTTATGAACAGTCGTTAGCTGTCACGTGGGTGCTAGGAACTGAAACGGGGCTCTTTGCAAGAGAAGTCAGTGCTCTTAATCACTGAGCCATTTTTTCAGTCCTTATTTTTTTTATTACACTTTTCTGTGTATATCTATGTGTGCCACATGTCCCCACGTGTGGAAGGTGGAAGTTAGAGGACAATTTACAGTCAATTCTCTCCTTCCATATGGGTCCTGGGGATTGAACTCGGGTCACTTTTACCCATCTAGCTATCTTGCCAGCCATATGTTTTTTGTCTTTAAGTGTTAAAAAAAGCTTACATGGATGCCAAGTATCATGATGCATGCCTTTAACCCCAGCACCTGGAAGGGAGAGGCAGGCAGATCTCTGTGAGTTTAAGGCCAACCTGGTCTACATAGTGAGTTCCAGGCCAGCTAGGGCTACAGGGAGACCCTGTCTCAAAAAGATCAGAAAAAAAGAACAAATTTACATGGAGCTGGGTGTGGTGGCTCACACCTTTAATCCCAGCACTTGAGCTGCTGTGGCAGAAGGATCACCAGGAGTTTGAGGCTAATCTAGGCTATATAGGTCAGCCTGGGCTATAGAGTGAGACTCTTGTCTCCAAAAACCAAACCAAACCATAAAAACAAACAATGAAAACTTACATGAAATAAGAGGCTTGTCTGATCCTAGAAGGAGAATCAAGTCCAGCAGTTAAGAATTGAAGGAGGAAGGTTGCCATGGAACCTAGTGTCTCAGTGAGTTTCCTGTCCTTGAAGTTACATAAGCAGAGACCAGTCAGCCATTCTGTGGTGTTGTCAGGGAATCAACACAATGGGCTGTGTGTGGAGGAGGAAGATCTCTAGATGGAGACGTGACAGTGGAGAAGCTGCTGCAGTCTGGGCCAGTTGGTAAGGGCTCTGGCAACAGCACTGAGGCACTGGCTGCTCTCACTGTAGATCATCATCTCTCTTGCAGGGAAACAAGGGCAGAGGCCAGTTCTCTTAAGGAGAACGCTGAATCCCAGAAAGAGGCCAAGACCTTGAACCCAGAATCCACCTTATCCTTGGAAGGGACTGTGAACCTAGATGACATCCTCTATCTGGGGGACTCGGTGGACTTTGAGGAGACCCTCTATGGGGAAGAGCCGGGGAAGCCTGAGGAGACACTGTATATCGAGGAGTTGAGGCAGCCAGAGGAGGCACTGGATGTGGAGGAACCAGAGGAGGCACTGGGTGTGGAGGAGCCTGTGAGTCTAGAAGAGACGCTGTCTGTGCAGGAGCCCGTGAAGTCAGATGAGGTACAGTTTGTGGAGCAGCCTGTGAAGCCATCCGAGAGCCCAAGCCCAGAGCAGACTGCTTATGAGGCAGAGATGGTGGCCAGGGAAGAGAAATCCATCCCAGTGGAGAGCCTTTCAGCGCAGCCGAGCCCCAACACAGAGGAGGACTTGAGCATGGAGGACCTGGAAAGGCTGGAAGGCCGTTTCCAGGAGTGTGTGCAAGCTGTGGCCCAGCTGGAAGAAGAGCGGGACCAGCTCATCCACGAGCTTGTGCTGCTCAGGGAACCAGCCCTGCAGGAAGTGCAGCAAGTCCATCAGGACATCCTGGCTGCCTACAAGCTGCATGCCCAGGCAGAGCTGGAGAGGGATGGGTTAAGGGAGGAGATCCAACTGGTCAAGCAGAAGCTGTTCAAGGTGACCAAGGAATGTGTGGCCTTCCAGTACCAGCTGGAGTGCCGCCAGCACGATGTGGCTCAGTTTGCTGACTGTAGGGAGGCACTGACCACGCGGGCAGCGCAGCTCTCTGGGGAGTTGGGCCAGCTCCGCGAGGCCTATCAGAAGCAGAAGGAGCAGTTGCAGCAACAACTCCAAGCACCCCCAAGCCAGAGCGATGGGCACCTTCTCCAGGAGAGCCGGAGGCTCTCTACACAGTTTGAAAATCTCATGGCGGAGAGCCGCCAGGGCCTGGAAGACGAGTACGAGCCTCAGCTGCTGCGGCTGCTGGAGAAGAAAGAAGCGGGGACCAAGGCACTGCAGAAAACCCAGGCAGAGATTCAGGAAATGAAGGAGGCCCTGAGACCCCTGCAAGCAGAGGCCCGGCAGCTCCACTTGCAGAACAGGAACCTGGAGGACCAGATGACACTAGTGAGGCAAAAACGTGATGAAGAGGTTCAACAGTACAGGGTAGGCCCATTGGCTATGCAAGACTCGGTTTTCTATGTAGCTTGGACTGGTCTTGAACTTGAGATCTGTCTGCATGCTGGGGTTAGAGGCCCATGCCACCACATCTGGTATATAAAAGGGACATCTTTTGTAAAAAATATATTTTATTATTTTTTCCAGCCAGGCATGGTGGCACATGCCTTTAGTCTCAGCACTTGGGAGGCAGAGGCAGGAGGATCTATGTAAGTTCAAGGCCAGCCTGATCTATATAGCAAGTTCCAGGCCAGGTGGGGCTACAGGGAGACCCTGTCTCAAAAAGATAAGAAATTTTAAAGTTTTTGTGTATGAGTGTATTGTCTCCATGTATGTAAGTGCACCCGTGTCCTGCAATGCCAAGGAGAGCAGAAGAGAGTGGATTCCTTTGGAACTGGAGTTACAGTAGGTTGTCAGCCTGTGGGTGATGGAAATTGAATCCTCTGCAAGGGCAACCAGTGCTGTTAACCCTGAGCCATTTCTCCAGCCTCAGAAGGGAAATCTTTTTTTTGGGGGGGGGTCTTTTTGAGACAGGGTCTCCCTGAAGCCCCAGCTGTCCTGGAACTCACTATGTAGACCAGGCTGGCCTTGAACTCACAGAGATCCGCCTGCCTCTGCCTCCCGAGTGCTGGGATTAAAGGTGTGAGCGACGATGCCCGGCCTGGACTCTTATTTTTTATAGATGAGGAAACTGAGGCTCAGTGAAGTAGTTCGAACCTGAGCCTACCCAACTCCAAGTATTTCAGTTCTTCCAAGGAAGCCTTTGTAATCCTAACTGTACAGGGAGTTACACTTGGTGTATAGAAAGTAGAGGAACTAGAGGTCAGGTGGAATGCATTTGTTCCCTCCCGTATACTCCACATTCACCCTCAAGTTCCACCTATCCAGTCTCTACCTCAGAGCTGTCTGGTGCCTGGAATGGGATTGCTACACATTTTCCTTTTTTGTACATGTCACCATCTCCCTTGTATTCAAGTTATTTCCAATTAAGTGTGAGCCAGTTCTAGTCCCTTTTTAGAACAGAGTAGGATATAAATACTAAGTGAATAAACAATTACGTCTGCCTCTCCAGACTGGGCATTCAGAAGGTAGGGTCTATCGTTACTTATCTTTTTATTCTGTGCCTCATGTTGCTTAGAGGACACATCAGACAAGTGCTAAGTATTGCTAGGCACTCTGAGAAAACTTAGTATGGGGCCTTTTACAGCAGTACTTTAAAATTTTTTTTGAGACATGGTCTCAAGTAGCCTAGACTGGCCTTGAAGTCTCTATATAGCTGAAAGTAATCTGACACTCTTATTTCTCTTGTCTCTACCTCCTGAGTGCTAGGATTACAGACCTTGAACTCACCATCCTCCTGCCTCAGCCTCATAAGTCCTGTGATCACAGGTATATGCCACATGTATTCCTTTGGATAAACTTAAAATCTTATGTTGTCCCACAGACTTTGACATACCCTCAAGAGAACAGCCTTATTTTGAAACTAGCTACACTATTCAGCTTACTGAATATTTTATTATATTTTTTGAGACAAGGTCTCCCTGGAGTCCCAGTTGGCTTGGAACTTGCTGTGTAGACCAGGCTGGCCATGAGCTCAGAGATCTGCCTGCCTTTGCTTCTTGAATGCTGGGTCTAAAGGAGTGTGCTGCCATGCCCAGCTGGCTTCCAACTCTTGCTCTTCCTGCCCCGGCCTCCTGAATGCTGGGGTTTCAAGGTCTGTACCACCCTTCCTGGCTCAGAGTTATTTTGGAAAGGGCTTCCTAAACTGTGCTCACTCAAGAATCTTCTATTCCTTTCTGGTTACTTTTCAAGGGTGCTCCTTAAATTCTGTACTTTGAGAATCCGTTTGCCTCTATTAGCACTTTCATTATCCATTCATTCAATATAGTTTCTATGTGTCTACTATGGATCAGGCTAAGGTATGGCAAGAAAGCTAGGATATAGTGGGGGATGAGGGGCTCCTCTTCCCAGTTTGTGGTTTAGGAGGGTTACCAGACAAAATGAACATTTTTTTTTTGAGACAGTTCCAGCTGTCCTGGAACTCACTATATAGACCAGGCTGGCCTTGAACTCACAGAGATCCGCCTGCCTCTGCCTCCCAAGTGCTGGGATTAAAGGCATGCGCTGCCACACCCGGCATTTTTTTTTTTTTTTTAAATCCAAGCACTGTTGATATCAAGATGCTTCCTGGGCTGGGGAATGTAGCTCAGTGACAAGAGTGCTTGCTTTGAATGCACCAAGTCCTGGGTTTATCTCTGGCACCACACACACACACACACACACACACACACACACACACACAAAGAAACAATGAAAAGATGCTTGATTTGAGATGGTTAAATGTGAAAGTCTTGGAATCAATGAAATAACAATGACAGAAGCAGAACAGTTCTGGGAGTGAGGCACTATACTGACAACTTAGATAAGACTCCTACCAGAGGAAACAAGGGGAACTTTCAGAGATTAACAATAGCTAATGTGTACTTCACAGTTTTTTTGTACATAATTCATGTCTTATACCCCAGTGAGGTATGAAATGTGTGAAAACTGAGAAACGAAAGGGGATAGAGAAGCCCAGTGTTCTACAGCTTGGAAAAGATGTGTGATGGACCCTGGGCAATCTAGTGATGCCCACTCCCCACTACACTGTGCTGGAACTGGGCCTTTTGAGTTCATTGAGCAGCCAGGGAAAGGTATTCCAGGCAGAGAGGACAGCTCACACAAGAGCATGTACAAAAAGGCACTGTTTGGGGAAATGAGCTCAGTCTGACTGAGTTGTAAAGAATGAGTAGACTGACAAGGTTGGAGAGCTAGATTGTAAATGGTTTTAGGTCATGGCTCTCTCTCTCTCTCTCTCTCTCTCTCTCTCTCTCTCTCTCTCTCTCTCTCCCCCCCCCCCCCGTCCGCCCGTCCATACATGTAGTCACTCACACCGCAGCAGCCGTGTGTCCTTCTCTCTCTCTCTCTCTCTCTCTCTCTCTCTCTCTCTCTCTCTCCACACCCCATGTGCCCGACTGTACATGTTGAAAGGCCATCAGAGGACACCAGGTGTCCTACTCTATCACTCTCTACCTTATTCCCTTGAGACAAGATCTTGCATTGAGCCTGGAGCTAAGCTGGTGGGTAACAAGCCCCAGAGATCTTCCTGTCTCTGCCCCTCCCTGCCAGTGCTGGAGCCAAATGCTCTTACTCACTGAGCCATCTCCCCAGCCCAAGTAGTTTTCAAAAAACTTTTCTTTAGGGGCTGGAGAGATGGCTCAGCAGTTAAGAACACTGGATGTTCTTACAGAAGACCCGGATTTGAATCCTAGCACCCACATGGCAGCTAACACAGGTTCCAGGGGATCCAATAGCTTCTTCTGTCCTCGGGCATTGCATGACACACACTTTCCCCCTTCACTCCAAATAAAAGTTTATTAAAAAAATTATTCAGGGCTGGAGAGGGCTCAGCTGTTAAGAGCATTAACTGCTCTTGCAGAGGACCTGGGTTTGGTTCCCAGCAACCCACATGGCATCTTACAACCATCTGTAATTCCAGTCCTGGGGAATCTGAAGCCCTCTTCTGGCTTTCTCATGCATCAGACACATACATAAACACAAGCCAAACACTCATGCATATAATTTTTTGAAAATTTCATACATGTGTAGAAGTGTTCTGATCACACTCTCACCCTTTCCTCCAATCCCTCCCTCTTTCTACAAGCCCCCCTCTCACATTCATGTTTTATTTTTGAGAGAGGGTCTCCTTATAACCCCAGTTGGCCTGGAACTCGCTATGTGGACCAGGCTGGCTAGCCTCGATCTCATAAGAGATCCACCCCCACTGGCCTCCAGAGTGCTGGGATTAGAGGTAAGCGGCAGCACACCTGGCCTCATGTGATTTTTCTGTTCTGTCTTTTTGAGACAGGGTCTCCCTGTAGCCCCAGCTGGCCTGGAACTCATTATGTAGACCAGGCTGGCCTTGAACTAATAGAGATCTGTCTGCCTCTGCCTCCCAAGTGCTCGGCTTCATGTTTTTAAAAAACTATTTGGAATGGCAGTGTATAAAATTTAAGCGCTGCTGCTTCTCTGAGGAGCAGCCAGGACACTCAGTTTGGCCTTCTAGGGTTTCAGAGTCTGAAGAGCTGTTATCTAATGAAAGCAGCAGAGTAGAGTGGTTAGGGGTGTGAGCTTGGCGCCAGTTGCAAACCCTGGCTCAGTTACTGGGAAACTTTTTTTTTTGAGACAGGGATTTCCTGTAGCCCAGCTGGCCTGGAATTTGCTATGTAGACCAGGCTGGCCTCCATCTCAGAGATACACCTGCCTCTGCCTCCCAAGTGCTGGGATTAAAGGGGTATACCACCACGTCCTACTCATGGCTCTCATTTTTAACTCTGTGTGCATTGTGTGTGGAAGGGGGTCAGAAGAGGGCATCAGATCCTCTGGAACTGGAGTTATAGGTAGTCATGAGCTGCCCAACACGGGTGCTAGGAACTTAACTCTGTAAGAGCAGTATGTACATGTTAACCAGAGTCATCTCTCCAACCTCCAAGACACTTATCATTTATGTGTTAGATATGTATTTTTAAATTGTGTGTTCAGCTCATATAGAGGTTAAAGGTCATCCTTGGGTGTCAGTCCTCAGGATGCCAGTCCATCTTGTTTTTTCAGACAAGATCTCTCATATGGGCAGGGGTTAGTGATTCAGTTAGACTGGTTAGACAGAGTGCAGCAGGTATTTGTCTGTCTCCCCAATACTGGGACTGTAAGCATGTCATCACACCCAGCTTTGGAGATACTGTCTGGCCACATAGCCCTGGCTGGCCTCAAACTCCTTGTGTAGACCAGGATGGCCACAAGCTTACAGAGACCCACCTGCCATTGTCTCCATTGGGACTAAAGGTGTGTGCCACTACCCTCAACACATCTAGCTTTCAGACATGGGTTCTGGGGATTGAACTCAGGTCCTCATATTGTATGACCAGCAAAGTACTGAGCATTCTCCCCAGCCAGGCCTCAAACTTGTTATATGATGATCTTGAACTCCTGGTAAAGTGTTGGGATTACAGGCATGTACCACCATGTCCAATTTTCTCGATTTTACATGCTTCATACTTGCCTCTAACCATGTACCTTACCCAAACAGGTTTGCTGCATAGTGAGAATTATGAAACTAGTGCAGTGTAAGGACACTTCCCTTCAGATTTTTTTTTTTTTTTTTTGATTTTCAGAGACAGGATCTCCCTGTAGTCCCAGCTGGCCTGAACTAGCTATGTAGACCAGGCTGGCCTTGAACTCACCTGCCTGCCTCCTGAGTACTGGGAATAAAAGTGTGTGCCACCACATCTGGCTGAGTGCCACATTCTTAAGTGAGAAGGTCACATCTTTCTGTGGTCCCCAGACATGGCTAGGTACTTTAAAAAGGTCTATTAATAATGTTGAAGTTGAGGATCAGCAGAGTACCAAACAGACTGCTATGCCTCAGTACAAAATCAAAGCTGACTCAGATCAGAATACCTTTTTTTTTTTTTTTTTTTGGTCTTTTTGAGACAGGGTCTCCCTGTAGCCCCAGCTGTCCTGGAACTCACTATGTAGACCAGGCTGGCCTTGAACTCACAGAGATCCACCTGCCTCTGCCTCCTGAGTGCTGCCCTACCACACCTGGCCAGAATAACTTTTAATGACAGCATGTTCCCAAACCAGATTCCCACGCAGTATTTTTCAACTGCTCATTATAATACATTACCCGCCCCTGCCTTTTTTTTTAAAGATAGGGTCTCCCTGTAGCCCCAGCTGGCTTGGAACTATGTAGACCAGGCTGGCCTTGAACTTAGAGATCTGCCTGCCTCTGTTTCCCAAGTGCTGGGATTAAAGGCATGAGCCAACACCCCTTCCCCCCACCATTTTTCAAAAAAGGGTCTCAGGTTCAAGCTGGCCTAACTTTAGATTCTCCTGCCTCCACCTCCAGAGTCCAGAGTGCATATGTCACCATGCACAGTTTCTGCTATGCTAGGAATCAAACATAGGGCTTTGTGAATGCTAGGTAAATATTCTAACAACTGAGCTGCATTCCCAGCCTCCCTGTCCTAATTTTTAAGGATCCAAGGCATGCTAAACAGCTTCCTTCCTTCCTAGGCATTAATCCCAGAGGGGAGGGGCTGGAGAGAAGGCTCAGTGGAAAAGAGCACTGGCTGCTCCTGCAGAGGACAGTGGTTCAGTTCCCAGTACCCACATGGCAGTTAACAGTCCGTAGCTCCAGCTCCAGTGGATCCACTGCCCTCTTCTGACCTCCTCGGGTACTGCACAACATATGTGCACTTACATACACGCATCAATACACTCATACACAAAATAAATGAAAAAAATTTTAGTTCAGGAGGGGAACAATTACGCAAAGGCACAAGGTATTATTCTAACTTGTAGCTCAGTGGTAGAGTGCTCAACTGGCATGCACAAGACCCTAAAGTTGATCCTCAGCACCATGCATAATAAAAGTTATCTTGGGGCTGCTCCTCTCTCCAGAAGCTTCTGCTGGTTCCCTCAACTCTAGCTCCTCGGCCTTGGATCGTGCCGCCATGATGGGCCACCATCCAGTGCTTGTGCTCAGTCAGAATACAAAGCGTGAATCTGGAAGAAAAGTTCAATCTGGAAACATCAGTGCTGCCAAGACAATTGCAGATATCATCCGAACATGCTTGGGACCCAAGTCCATGATGAAGATGCTTTTGGACCCAATGGGAGGCATCGTGATGACCAATGATGGACTATAGGTGAGGACATAAATTTAGCAAATGCTGATGAACTACGAAAGCTTTGCCATTTCTACTAGATTTAAGATACAGCCTGCAGATGGAGCCCAAGTCTAAGATGTGGGGATGTCTTAATGAAGGAGGAAATCCTGGAAATTGTGGCAATATCCTGCCTCTTATTTCCACAGGCTGGATCACAAGCATAGCTACAATTTCCCACTCAAAATTTTGTTTCTGAGCTTCATGGAAGAAAGCCACCTTAGAAATGAAATAGTGGTCATTTGGGGAAAGGGTTATGTCTAGGAATTGAATCGAGAAGTTGCTTTGTGTGTGGTACTGAGGTTGGACCCAGCAGGGCAAGTGTTATATGACTTCACTTCCTAATTACCACCTCTTGATTTTGGATTAAATTGAGTTTTCCTCTGCTCAGATACCTGGTGGCATCATTGAAGATTCCTGTGTCTTACGTGGAGTCATGATTAACAAGGATGTGACCCATCCACGAATGCGCCGCTATATCAAGAACCCTCGCATTGTGCTACTGGATTCTTCTTTGGAGTACAAGAAAGGGGAAGGCCAAACTGATATTGAGATTACACGAGAGGAAGACTTCACCCGCATCCTGCAAATGGAAGAAGAGTACATTCAGCAGCTCTGTGAGGACATAATCCAGCTGAAGCCTGATGTGGTCATCACAGAAAAGGGCATCTCAGATTTAGCTCAGCACTATCTCATGCGGGCCAATATCACAGCCATTCGTAGAGTCCGAAAGACAGACAATAATCGAATTGCTAGAGCCTGTGGGGCACGGATAGTCAGCGGACCAGAGGAACTGAGAGATGATGTTGGAACAGGAGCAGGCTTAATGGAAATCAAGAAGATTGGAGATGAGTACTTCACATTCATCACTGAGTGCAAAGACCCAAAGGCTTGCACCATTCTCCTTAGAGGGGCCAGCAAAGAGATTCTCTCAGAAGTAGAGCGCAACCTCCAGGATGCCATGCAAGTGTGCCGTAACGTTCTCCTGGACCCTCAGCTGGTGCCAGGCGGTGGCGCCTCTGAGATGGCTGTGGCCCATGCCTTGACAGAAAAATCCAAGGCCATGACTGGTGTGGAACAGTGGCCATATAGAGCTGTTGCCCAAGCATTAGAGGTCATCCCTCGTACCCTGATCCAGAACTGTGGGGCCAGGATCATCCGTTTACTGACCTCCCTTCGGGCTAAGCACACACAGGAGAACTGTGAGACCTGGGGTGTAAATGGCGAGACTGGTACCTTGGTGGACATGAAAGAGCTGGGCATATGGGAGCCATTGGCTGTGAAGCTACAAACATATAAAACAGCAGTGGAGGTAAGACTTCCTAAGATGTGGGGATGTTATGTTTCCAGATACAATCAGCTACTATGTCTGGTCTAGTCTTGAAGGGAAGGGATTATAAACTGCAGAGTAGTCCCCAAAGACCTCCTAAGGAATTCCATATCTCTACTTAATCTTTCTTTAGCTTATACAAAAACAAGGTAATAACCCTTTCTTAGGGAGAACTGAATTGTACATTCAAGACTCTGAAAAGGTAGATTTCAGATAAAATGGTAATTCTCTGGGAGGAACTAAGAGCTACAGCTAAAAGAAAACAGTGTTTCCTTCTGCTGACCCCTTTGGGACTTTTACTCTTAGACTGCAGTTCTGCTGCTCCGGATTGATGACATCGTCTCAGGCCACAAAAAGAAGGGGGATGACCAAAGCCGGCAAAGCAGTGCTCCTGATGCTGGCCAGGAGTGAATGGTGGGCAAGGTGACCAGCGCACAGAACCAGCAGTCTCCCCCTTCCTGAAGCAGAGTCCAGGAATACTGTGGATGTCTTTGTTGGAAGGGATCAGGTTGAGGGGCAGCCCCCCATCCCAGCTCAGTTTGCAAAAGGCACTGACATGTAACTCTTCTCTATTGTAAGCTTTCCATTTAGTTTGCTTCTAATGATTAAATCTAAGTCATTTGAAAAAAAAAAAAAGAGTTATCTTATGCAAGGCCCCCCCCCCTTTTTTTTTTTTCTGTTAGGGTCTCAGCATGTTGCCCTGCCTGGCCTGGAACACATTATATAGACCAGGCTGGCTTCAAACTCAAGAGAGCCATCTCTCTGCCTCCCACTGGACTAAAGGCATATACCACTATGCCACCGCCCCCAGGGTCTCATATAGACCAAGCTGGCCTCAAACTCATTATGTAGCTGAGGATGACCTGATTGAACTTTTGATCTTTTTGCCTTCACCTCCTGAGTGCTGTTTTAAAAACAGGAATCTTGGGGCTGGAGAGATGGCTCAGTGGTTAAGAACACTGGTTGTTCTTGCAGAAGACCTGGGTTCGAATCCCAGCACTCACATGGCATTTAACAACTGTCCGTAACACCAGTCCCAGGGGATCCTACAGCCTCTTCTGACCTCCGGAGGGCATTGCACGACACAGGTGCACTTATCTGCAGGCAATACATGCATACACATAAGATAAAAATAAAATATATAAAAAAAGAATGAAGCTTCTTAAAAAACAACAAAACCTGGAATCTTTTTTTTTTTTCCCTTTCATTGTGGGGGATCTAGGGCCTTGGGCATACAAGTGCTCTCTACCACCGAGTTATGATCCCTGTCTTTTTATATGTTTCTATTGTTTCAGGTAGGGTTTCCCTGTAGCCCCAGTTGGCCTGGAACTCAAGAGATCTGCCTGCCTCTGCTGGACTAAAGGCAAATGTCACATGGGGCTTACATGGGTTCTTAATTCTGGTTTTAGTTGTAGAATGATTTTTAAACCCTGAAGAGTCTAAACAGTTTATCAAGTACATATAAATCCTCAATGCCCTCCAATCTTTTATAAAGTTAAAAAAACCCCAATTTTTCTAAAAGAGGAAAATGAGGAATGTAATCAACTGATACCACTATTTATGGCCTAATTTTCTATATATGTAAATAAAGCCTCAGCTTTCCAACTAAAGGACCTAAATCCTCAATGGTACTAAATTGTTGGTAACAAAGCTTGTTTTGGGCCATTTTCAAAGCAGTGTCACTTCTGGAAGACACCTCCTCTCTGAAACTGTTTCTTAACCTGTCCCAGAAATAACAGCTATTGTAGCAAATAACAGATACTGTAGTAAAGATTAATATTCAAGCCAGGTGAACCCCTGTGAGTTCAAGGCCAGCCTGGTCTACATAGTGAATTCCTGGCCAGCTGAGGCTACAGGGAGTCCCTGTCTCAAAAAGACCAAAAAAATAAAAAAAGAGATTAATGTTCAAGTCTTTATACAGTGGACATTAGGTGTATGTTTGGCTCAATGATGTTCTTGGGCATTTGATGCAGGAGCAGCTGGAGGAGATGGAGGAGCGACAGAGGCAGTTAAGAAGTGGGGTGCAACTCCAGCAACAGAAGAACAAAGAGATGGAGCGGCTAAGGATCAGTCTTGCAGAAGAGCTTTCAACTTACAAGTCAGTGTTCCACTTCCCAAATCTCATCTGATACTGGTTGAGAGGATGGTGGGAGGGCTCAGGAGGTATTTTACATAACAGAAGAAAACAAAATGATTTGGGGAAGTGATTTACAGATAGAAAACAGCTCTCTCTTTTTAAAGGGCTATGTTACCCAAGAGCCTGGAACAGGCTGATGCCCCTACTTCTCAGGCAGGTGGAACGGAGACTCAATCCCAAGGTGATCTTTGTGGCATCTGCCCATTGTTACTGCTTTCCTAAGAATACTAATTAATGCTCCCCCCACCCCCATACCTCAGCCTCCAAGTAGCTAGGAATATAGGCATGTGCCTCTGTAACATAAAGTCTCACTACTAGGCTGGCTTTGAACCCATCCTTTGGCAGTCCTCCTGGCCTCAGACTCCCAAGAGCTACAATTTATAGACGTGCACCACCCTGATAGTGCCCTCTAAAAAATAAATGACAGATAGCCATGACAACAAAATGCCTAAGGACAAGCAGGATTGACTTGGAATGTTTTAATTTTTGGTGGGACTCAAAATATGACCTAATTACAACCAAGGTTTTATTTGAAATTATGGGTATATATGCAGTGACCTTGGAGACCAGAAGGTGTTAGATCTCCTGGAGCTGAAGTTACTGGCAACTGTGAGCCACCTGATGTGGGTGCTGAGAACACTGAACTTAGGTCCTCTGGAAGAGCAGGAAACTTTCTTAATTACTGAGACTTCTCTCCAACCCCTCCCCCCCTTAAATTTTTATTTACAAAATGATAACCAAGACTAAAAACCCTTACATTTGCTGTGTGTGTGCACAAAATCTCATGTGAAGGTCAGAGGATAACATGTAGGAGTCAGTCTTTCCTTCCACCCACATGGGTTTCCTCAGATTGAATTCAGGTTGTCAGGCTTGGCAGCAAGCACCTTTACCTGATGAGTCCGGTCACTGGCCCTTACTAAGAATTTTTGTAGTATTTCTAGGCTCTAGGTACACCCTTGTCCTCCAACACTGGCATTCAAAGGAGAGCATGGCATTTTGGCATAGCACAGAATGTGATCATGCTGCCAAACTCAGACAAAGGAGGCTAATAAGAGGGCTAAATTATATGCAAGTCATAAAAATGCTGAGGCATTTATAGGGCCCAACTACTGCTTAATTAACCTTTAAAACAACCAACATACCCATCCATTAATTTTCATACCTTTATAAAAACACAAAGGTTATGGATCGGTTTAGAAGTGCGGGAAGTTTTAAGGTCTTTCCTAACCAATCAAGTGATCAGGATTCTCTCCTATACTTTTTATTTATTTTAAAGATATTACAAATTGAACCTGTCCTTGTGTATGCTATGCTCACTACTGTGCCTAATGAGCAGGAGGGATGGCTCAGCAGGCAAAAGCATTGGCTGCTCTTACAGAGGACCCAGGTTCAGTTCCCAGCATCCACATGGCAGCTAACAACCGCTTGTTAACTCCAGTTCCAGGGGATCCAATGCCCTCTTCCAACCTCTGAAGGCATTGCAGGACATGGGTGCACTTACACATGCAGGCAATACGTTCATACACATAAAATATAATAAATAAAACACCCCACAAATGTGGCTAGTGGCCCAGGCCTTTCATTCTAGCTGAGGCAGAGTACTACAAGTTCAAGCCTCCCAGGTTAAACTTAGACCCTGTCTCAAAAACAAAGGCTAGGAATGTAGTTCAGTGGTAAAGAATACTTGTTGCTCTTGCAGGGCCTGGGCTTGATTCAGAGTACCAACATGGCAGCTCAGTAATTCCAGTTCCAGGCGACTCTAATGTCCTCTTTGGGACACAAACATGGAGCACAGACATATTTGCAAATACTCACATACATATACATATACATATTATATATATATATAAATAAATAAATCTTAAGTAACAACAATGGATAGGGCTGGGGCTGTATCTCAGTGCATATTGGATAAACACACACAAGACATCAAGTTCTCTATCTAGCACAGAACAAATCAAAGCAAAACTAAAAACAAGTCTGTTAAGTTGTATACAATACAGACGCCCATCCATTTTACTGTTTCCTGTTAAACTTACATTTTGGATACAATTTTAAGAAATATATTTTATTTTTATTTTGTATGAGTGTATTACCTACATGTATGTAAGTACACCCATGTCATGCAAAGCCCACAAAGGCCAAAAGAGCATAGGATTCCCCTGGAACTGGAGTTATGGACGGTTGTTAGCTGCCACGTGGGTGCTGAGAACTGAACTTGGGTCCTCTGCAAGAGGCAAGCCAGTACAGTACTCTTAACCACGGAGCCATCTCTCCAGCCCCTGGATACAAATTTTGATAAATTGATTCTTTTCCTAAGTTTTTCAAAGTTTCTTTATATAATTTGAGAGTTGATTATAACCCTGTAATTGAGAACATTGATTTGCTTGCTAAACACTTGTGTATGGACAGGGAAAGGACAATGATTAATCTAAGGAATTCCAGATACTATAATACTGTGTACTCTGGACAGAGAAAAAACATTTTCAGAGTAGGCTATGTACCCTATGCTTTGTTTTTAACTTGTAGTCTTCCTGCCTCGGCTTCCTGGGTGTTTCCAACTATAGACTCAGGCCATACCAGCTTATAAAAATAAATTTTTTTTTTTGTCTTTTTGAGACAGGGTCTCCCTATAACCAGTTGGCCTGCAATTTGCTATTGAGACCATGCTGGCCTTGATTTTAAAGAGATCTACCTGCCTGCCCTCCAAGTGCTGGGATTAAAGGATGTGTCACCATGCCCAGCATTTTTACAAAAATTTTAGAATTTTTATGAAAATTTTAGCCACCCCACTCAGCATCACTGTCACATAGGTTACTATTCATTTTTTTTTGCTTATGAGACATGCAAATGTTTAGATAGTGAAATGTTATTCCTGGTCCTATGCAAATCACATTGCAGTGATCTTTCCCTGGCTTATCCTGTACTAACAAAACCTTGGCAATTCATAGCTGTAAAACTTTCTACTGTATTATTTGAGACTGTTGAGAGTGCAAGTTTAACTCTTTTTCTTTCACTCTTACAGGGGCTGTTTAGAAATGTATGGCCGGATCTGTAATCCAGAAACAAAAACCTTATCAAAGGATGACTAAGTACCCTAGGGACAGACTTTTTCCCAAACAAATGAAAGAGTGCCAGCATTTGGCAAGCAATTCACCCTGTGAAAATAGCAATATTGGCTGGCTTGCCTAAAAAGGTTTTAGTGTTGGCTGAAGTAGACCACCAGTCAATTTTTGTCTCGATTCTTTTTCGTAGGCTGGTGATACAGATCTCAATGCATTGAAGAATGGAAATATGGGCCTCTTAGCTCAGCAGCAACTCACATGCACACTGGGTAAAGGATGCACCAACAAACCTCACAGTATCACGAAGAATGATTGCCCTGTGCTGATACAAACCAAAAAGAGTCAGGCACGGGTCAAAAGGCAGCAGTTTCATAATATAGGTTTACATAAATTCTTCAGTGCCGTTGGTATTAGATTTTAAATGGATCTTCCTCCATTTTTCATAAAGGCCTATGCAGACTTGCATAATTTAATCTTAAAGGTAACTTTTCCTTTTTTGAGACAAGTTGCCATGTACTCCAGGCTGCCTTTCAGACTGCTATGTAGCTGAGGATGACCTTGAACTTCTGAGTTTTCTGCCTCCTCCTCCTAAATGCTGGGATTACAGGTGTGCCATCACTATATCCTAAAACAACTAGACTTGGAGGACAGAAACCACTTCAGATTTAGGTTTTTTGTTTTTGAGACAGGGTTTCCCTGTAGCCCCAGCTGGCCTGGAACTCACTATAACAAGATCCGCCTGCCTCTGCCTGTTTCACAAGTGCTGGGACTAAAGGCTTGAGCCACCATACCGGGCCATTTCAGATCAGGACGTTTCAGATTATCCAGATGTTCCCATTAAATGGTTTTTGGGTCAGAGTGATCTATTTAGGCAAAATAAAAACTGAGACACTGCAAAGAACCAGTAGTTTTATGTGGGGATAAATGCATTCAGAACCTCTACTTTCTACCCTTTAAGTACTGGCTCCAGGAAAGACACTGAGCAGATACAACCTCTCTGCAAAAGTTCAAATCTCTACCAAATTTAATCCTGCCTTAAGTTCTCTATGGCACTGCCTGACACTGTTGGAAGCCTTCTCTAGGGCAAACTTCAAAATTATCTCATTTTATCACAGACTAGTTTGTATATCTCTGGTTTAATGTTTTATGTCTTTCGCTTTCCCTGGTAAGGAGTAAAGCTCTTTTCTATAGCTCTGGGTCTATTATATTTATATATTCTTCCCAGAAGATTCAAAACTATGGAAAATATTTGTCACCTGAATAAATTCTTCGAGAAGTCAGAGACTGATGTTTGATGGATATTAAATAAAACCCATCACCATGGGGCTATGTAGAAAAGCAGTTTATTCCATTATAAGCACTTACACAGTTAGTCATGGAGAGTAACAGGCCTGATGGTGAGACAGGTCAACCAAAATGGAGATGGTATCAAACTATAGTGGTCAAGGACTAACCCCTAAAAAACAAAAGCAACTCTTATCAAGGATTAATTTAATTTTAAAAACAAATACAAACTATCAAATCACTCTTCTCAACTTGGCAGCTCACCTGTGGTAGAACTGCCAGGCAAAAACATACATCTTTACAACTTGGTGGTCCCAAGTTTCAAAAAAAACACAACAAAAACCATTTCACAGAAAGGAAAAGAATAATATGAAAATAGCTCAAGAAATACACTAATGAGCAAAATATATGGGGAAGGAGGAACATGTGGTCTTAACTGAAGAAACCAATAAATGACTGGTCTATGTGGGAAAATGCTTCCTGGAAAGTCAGGCGTGAGGACTGTAGAGTAGGAATTTGTGTAACTTGAACCTCCCCTAATTTCTGAATAAAAATGACATCTTATAATATTTATACTTCATGGCTCAGACAACTACCTCACTTGGCTCTATTCCTTATTCACTCTAGCCATTACTTGAGTCTGAAAAAATTGGGGATATAGCTTAAGAAGAAAAATAATCACACATATTACGCCCCATTTCTGAAGCTACTTTAGACCTGGGTTTTTCACTAGAAAATTCCTGAAGAAAATTTAAATATGTCTGCGGCTTTTTTTGAATGAAGTCCCCTAGTTAAGGTTTAGAAAACACCCACTGCTTGGGCTTGTAGCGTTACTGGTGGCACCTATTATAGAGGGAGAGCTGAACAAAGTCCGTGTCTCAAAACCAGTGTTAAATCATTATCTCAGGGTTCAGAGGAAAGCAAGGGGAGTCTAAAATCACAAGCGTAGACATGTCTAGGACCCTTGACCTTCTGGATCCACACTTCCTTCAGGGTCTTCATCATTATAAATGTTCTCTGCCTGCCCAAAAACAAAGAGAAGATAGTATTTAGTAAACAAGAAGATAGGATAGGTTCCTTCTTGAGGCCCAAATTTCCATAATATATTATGCCAGGGTGTCTGATAAGCAGCAATAGACAATGTGCAAAGGGCATGGATCATGAATGGGTACGAGTGTACTCCAATAAAAGCAAAGAGTTGATCACCATTCTCTGAATTAGAACACTCCCACGTTGAGAAGTAACAATAATCATTCTTGATTCCTTTAACTGAATATATGACTGTAATTGCTAAAATGTAAAACAAGCCAAGTGACCATCAACTGAGGAATGGATAGATGACATATTCATAAAAATGGAATATTATTTGGCAAATAAAGTCACATATACGATTCCATTGATATGGTATGTCCCTTTTTTTAAAGGGAAAAAAAAGACAGGGTCATTGTGTGGCTCTGGCTGGCCTGGAACTTTCTATGTACATCAGGCTTGTCTTGAGCTCACAGAGATCCCCTAGGATTAAAGGAATGCATCACCACACCATGCCTGTACTGATATGGTGTGTGTTGAGTAGGTCAATCCACATATTAAGTACATTGGCAGCTGGGTAGAGCATGGACGAAGTTTCTATGAGATAAAAAGGAAGCGATGCTTATGGGCACAAGGTTTCTTTCTGGGATGATGAAAATGGTTTAAAATTGACAACCCCCCTCAATGTCCAAATCTCAACTTATATTTTGAAAAACCACTCTTAGATAAACTCCATTTCTACTAGTTAATACCAATCAATAAGGTACCTTTTCTCTGGGTACCAACTTGGTAGATATTCAACAACTCAATCATATTGACAATAATCAGCAGATTTATATGTTTAGGGGCTTGGTTCCACAAGGCTGTATAACCTTAGAGGAGTGTTAATTCTAGATCTTCAGGCTATCTTGCCACTTCTATCCAGTATTACTATACATTTGGGGGTTCCCATGAGCTCTTTTACCTGCTTTGGTAACTTGCTGTGATGATTCACAGAACTCAGGACAATCTATCAACTAACCAATCACCCACCCACCCACCTACCTATCTGAGAGTGCACAGGCAAGTCAATTCTCTTCTAATATATGGGCTTTGGGGCTCAAACTCAGGTCCTTGGGCTCTTGGTGGCAAGTGCCTTTGCCCTTTAAGTCACCTTGATGACCCTTTATTTTCATTTATTTTTCTCAAAAATGTTGCTGCTTGGACAAGGTCTTGGTACAATAGCCATTGCTGGCCTATGTAAACCAGGATGGCCTTGAACTCATGATTCTTCTGCCTCAAGCTCTGGAGTAGCTGGAATTAAAGACCCGTAATTACCAAGTCTGTTTTTACTTTAGGAACTGAATCCAGGGCCTTGTGCTTGCTCAACTGCTCTAACTAAACTAAATTCTGTATTTATTCATTTTATTTTTTGAGACAGGGTTTTAGGAGATAGCCCAGGCAGTCTTTGAATGGGTACTTTTTACCTCATTTTCCAAAAGATAGGATTATAGGACTACCATGCTCAGCTTGTTACTGGGCTTTATTATACATAACCAAGGAACTAAATGGAAGAGACATACATGGTGGAGCATTCATGCTACTCTCCTAGCACATCAATGTGATCACCAAACCCTAGAAGCTCAAACTACCTGGTTTTACCCCATGCTATGTAATTCTGGCTGGTCTGGAACTCACTATGCAGCCCAGCATGGCCTCAATCTCATGAGGATCCTGTTTATACACTGAGTGCTGGGATCTCAGGGTAAACCATCACACCCAGTCAAATTACCAGTTTTAAGAGAGCTCAATCTCCCTCCTCCTCACTGGTACTGAATCAAGAGTTTCAAATGTTTGATCAAAGCGAGGCATGGTGGCACATGCCTTTAATCCCATCACTCAAGAGGCAGGGGCAGGCCTCTGTGAGTTTAATACTAACCTGGTCTATATAAAGAGTTAAAGGCTAGTAAGGAATACATTGTGAGACCACACCTTAAAAAAAAAAGACAAAGTGCATATACTACTTTTTATATGGAAAACAACCTAGAATATAGGCACTGATGTTGGAGGGGATCTGGTTCACCCCTCTACAACATTTTCACAACTATTTTATATAATTTTTTTCCCCTTTTCTTTCTTCTTCTTTTTAAAATCTTTTTGAGACAGGGTCCCCCTGTAGTCCCACCTGGCATGGAACTCACTATGCAGACCAGGCTGGCCTTGAACTCAGAGAGATCCACCTGCCTCTGCTTCCCAAGTGCTGGGACTAAAGGTGTGCGCCACCACACCCGGTTATTTCATATAATTTTAGATGGATGTAGAAGAAGGAGACTGAGATATTTTGTTTTCAAATATAATCTCTCTCTCACAAAGATGTATGTATAGAAGAACCATGGGTAATGAAACAATGATAGGACACAAAACTGACTTATGTTAATCAAAATACTACTAATGTACATTAAAACACACACACACAGGTTTTTTTAAGGCTCTTGTCCAATTTAAAACTAAAAACCACCACCAACAAAAGTCATTTAAAAAGCATGCTGTTGATACATGCTCAGCCTACTCAGAGCCTTATCATGATCAGGTTAGGTTTTATGCCTGAGATCTGAAGCCGCCTTCTTATATCATCTACTGTTTAAGGTCTTCTACTTTTGAGTCATGCCATTGGTAGTACAGATTTTAATTAAACACATAAAAACTGAAAAAAATTATATATATATGTATATTTTTTTGGGGGGGTCTTTTTGAGACAGGGTCTCTCTGTAGCCCCAGCTGACCTTGAACTCAGAGATCTGCCTGCTTCTGCTTCCTCAGTGCTGGGATTAAAGGCATGCACTACCATGCCCAGCCATAAAATATTTTTATGTCTATCTTTACATATGCTCAACATATGTCTGTCTTTATATTGTTTACATGGCACTAAATTGGCTTATAAGTGAGCAAAGTTTTAAATTAGTCAAAAATTCCTTTTACTTCACAGTACAACAGGAACTTTATGACAAAAGCTCCAGCTATCCCAATAGGCTAAACTTGGCCACCTGTCCCAATGTGAGTAAATAGGAGAAACAAATTGATCTGTATGGCTGCACTGGGAGAACAGACAGATCTGGCAACCCTAAATTTGTCTTTGGGATACAGATGAGCTTTAAATTTAAATAAATAATTGGAGCAAGGCACAAGTATACATTAAGCAAACCTGGTTATGTGTGGTCTCCTTGCTAATTTTCTTGGTCAGCTTTTATAAGATATTCCGAAAGAGTCTATTGTTTGGGGATGGACTGGGTCAAGAGATTTTTCTTGCACCAAGGTACACCTGTGCGCTCATGGCTAATTGCCTTTACATAAGGAGTGGCCCTGTTAGGTTTGCTGTTCCAAGTGCTGAAAAGATGACTTCTCTCTGCGCTTTCTTCTCTGCTTGAGAAATGAATATGCTTACTTTTAAACAGGTAACTCTGTAACAAGGAAATAAAGGCAAATACTTTTAAATTTGGCTTTTGGGATTTTTCAACAGAGTCCAAAAAGTCCCAGAGAAAACAATTACAGACATAAGAATAAGCCTAATAATTGATTTCTATAGACAGACAAGTACCTGATTACTCAGAGAAACCCCAGATTAAAGATTAGAAAGGGGCTAGAGACACTGGAAATGAAGTAGTCTCAGTGGGGTTCAAAGAAACAAGGGCTTTGTTCCTGCTCCCTTCCCCCAGAGGCAAATCACTTTAAGGAACATTGCCCAACCCTCTGATTGAAGGACAAACCTTCAACTCCAATGATGGCTGCCCCTAAAGACAGACAGTACAAGATGTCCAGATAAAAGCCCCACTCAAGTGACTTCAGATAGCTACCAGGTGCTTTGGGTGAATGTTGACACAATAGACAAAAAAATTAATAGGCTTTTGCTCTCTTTCTATAAAAGTTACAAAATTACTGGACCCATGGCTTACTTCTCAGGATAAAAACAAAATTTAATACATTTTAAAATTTATTCTAGACTTTGTTTTTTTTTTTTTTTTTTTTGAGACAGGGTCTCCTTGTAGCCCCAGCTATCCTGGAACTCACTATGCAGACCAGGCTGGCCTCAAACTCACAAAGATCCCCTGGCCTCAAGGTGTCCTCTGGAACTGGAGTTCTAGACAGTTGTTAGCTTCCATGTAGGTGATGGGATCCAAATCTGGGTCCCCTGTAAGAGCATATCTCTAGCCATCCAGCTAGATTCTTTTTGAGACAGGGTCTCCTGTAGCCCCATTTGGCCTGGAACTAATGTAGGCCAGGCTGGCCTTGAACTTAAGAGATCCACCTGCCCCCGCCTTCTGCCAGCTAAAATTTCTAACATGCACATATGCAGACTGTTTATAAAATATAACAGCTAGAGCAATGTTGACCTGATGGATGAATCTTGTTAAGGATAGTCTTTTTTTTTGTCTTTTTGAGACAGGGTCTCCCTGTAGCCCCAGATGTCCTGGAACTCACTATGTAGACCAGGCTAGCCCAGAACTCACAAAGATCTACCTGCCTCTGCCTCCCAAGTGCTGGGATTAAAGGCGTGCACCACCATGCCTGGCAAGGATAGCTCTTCTAATGTTTGCTAGCATCTTTTAAGGATAATAAAGGCGTACCTCACCCAGACTAAAGAAAAACCTGCAGTCATCAGGTTTGGAGAGATGGCTCAGTGAAAAGGACTTATTGCTCTTGCCCAGGACCCAGGTTCAGTTCCCAGCACCCACATGGCAACTAACAACTGTCTGTAACTCCAGTTCCAGGGGATCTGATACCCTCTTCTAGCTTCCATATACACTGCACACACAGTACTTATATACATGCAGGTAAAGCAATCATCCTGTCCTCTAGCTGGGCATGGTAGAGTATACCTCTAATCTCAGCACTTAGGAGGCAGAGGTAAGAGGAGATTTCTATGATTTTCAGGCCAGCCTGGTCCACACAGTGATTTCCAGACCAGCTAAGGCTACAAAGTGAGACCCTGTCTCAAACAAGGAAACACACGGCAAAAAATAACAAAAACCACCACAGCTACTCACACCTACAAAGATTGAAAAACTCTCTTCATGTCTTAATTTCTTAAAATACAAAACTCCATGTCTACCAGTACTTGTAACCTTACTTTATTTTGCTTTTCATTTTCTTTTGGTACTGTTGGTTCTCAATGGCTACAGCTTAACATCCTTTATATTTCACCACTGGATTCCTTCTTAAAACTGTTCGTTCGCATTTTTTCCACATTCTTAACACAGAGTACAGATATATTTTTAAAACACTCTGGCCAGGCATAGTGGCACTTGCTTTAAATCCCAGCACTTGGGAGGCAAAGGCAGGCAGATCTCTGTGAGTTTGAGGCCAGCCTGGACTACATAACAAGTTCCAGGCCAGCTGGGGCTATAGGGAGACCCCGTCTCATCAAAACAAAGCACTCTTAAGGAGTCACATTCCCAAGAGCAAGCCATACAAAAACGGTTTTCTAGGGACAAACATGGCCAGTCTTTCTTGACTCATGGTCTTTTGGGAGGTACTAGTTGGCATCATCATGGTATTCTAGCTTAGTTTTTATAAAAATTTGACTTCTAGCTACGATATACGACAATTTCAAACTAAGTGTATGATAAAGGAGTCCAGCCAAATCCTACTATAGGAATCCCAAACCTCCTCTCTAATCATAGAGACCTTTGTAGTCCCACTTATGCTGGGACTACGGCCCTCACCAGCATGGACGAAGTTATAGAAGACTGATCATTACCCATCAGCTCTTCCCCTAGAATTTCTGGGAACACAGTTCTTAGGGAGCAATACAGGAGAGTAGGTATATGGAGAAAGAGGCATTGAGGTTAACATAAATAAAGCCAGTTGGCAGAAGACTGGAAATTGCCCCCACCCTAAATATAACAGAGCAACAATCTCTGAAATGTGGGAGGAGGCCAGTGCTACATAAATGACCCATAAAGGGCCCAGAGACCCACTGTCCAGCTTTTCTCAGCAGCGCTTTTCTCTAATAAACAGTCTATTTCTGTCACTGTTCTGGTGGCCCTGGTCCATTTTGTTTTTCTGGGACACAGAACCTGGGAATCTTAGCAGGTGTCCTCTGGACTCCACATCTACAGCATTTTAGAAAAAAGTAACCATACTTCTTTCCATAGGAGATATTCAAAGCATGAAGCAGTACAATTTGCTCACCAGGAAGCTACTGTCAGACCCGTCTTTTATTTCATGTCTCATATACAGGGCAAGTACTCTATCATCCAGCTGAATCCTCAGCTTTTTTTGAGACAGGGTCCCACCATATACTTTGGGTTGGTGTTAAACTCCCAATCCTTCTGTCTCTTCTGTAAGTGTTGTGATGACAAATGTGCACGGCCACTGCCCAGATTTTTTTTTTTCAAAAAGTGATTTATTTTTATCTGTACAAGTGTTTTGATTACTGGTATGTTTATTGGTATGTGCGTAGTGCCTGCGAAGGCCAAAAGAGGACAACAGAGCCACCACCATGTAGGTGCTGGTGGTGGAATCTGGGTCTTCTAGAACAGTAAGCTTTCTTATCCTGAGCCACATCTCCAGCCCTGCCTAGATTATTTCTTATCTTTGGCTAGTAGTGCTACTGCATACTTTTAATCTCAGCACTGGGGAGGCAGAGGCAGGAAGATACCTGTCTCAAAAACAAACAAACAAACAAAAAAACCCCAGTAAATTCTGATTAGGGGTTAAAGAGATGGCTCAGAGGATAAGAGCACCACTACTTGCAGAGGACCTGGGTTTGGCTCCCAGCACCTGGACAGTGGCTAACAACTGTCCATAATTCAAGCTCCAGGGACTCTGATGCCCTCTTCTGCCTCTGTAAGCAATCACATACACATAAATAGAAATTTAAAAATCTTCAGAAAACAGTGCTTGAGAGATGGCTCAGTGGTTAAGAACACTGGTTAATCTTGCAGAAGACCCGGATTCAAATCCCAGCACCCACATGGGTAGCTAACAACTGTCCTTAATTCCAGTCTCAGAGGATCTGACAGCCTCTTCTGACCTCCTAGGGCATTGCACAACATGGGTGTACTTACCTACATGCAGGCAATACACGCATACACATTAAAAAAAAAATCTTCAGAAAAGAAAAATTCTGATTAGATCTTGGGGACTGGTAAGACACCTCAGTAGGTAAGGGGGCTTGCTGCCAAGTCTGCACAACTTGAGCTCAATCCCTGGGACCCACATGGTAGACAGGTAGACGGCAAGAACCCACTCCTGAAAGTTGTCTTTAGCCTCCATACATGTGCCATGGTAAGCACACATCCAAAATAAATAAATGTAAAAGAAATAACATAAAAAAGCATTTTTTCCCTTCTGTTGAGTCTAATAGCTGAATAGTCTTGGAAAGCTCTTCATTTACCATAGTATTATCATTCAAAACCAAATCATGGCCATGGGAGGTGGCCATCATTGGAACACTAGCACTTGGGAGGTAGAAGCAGGAGGATCAGGAGTTTAATGCCATCTTCAGCTAGATAGCAAGTTTGAGGTCAGTCTGAACTACATGAGAACATGTCTCAAGAAATAAAACACAAAGCCGGGTGTGGTGGCGCACACCTGTAGCTCCAGCACTTGGGAGGCAGAGGCAGGTGGATCTCTGTGAGTTCAAGGTCAGCCTGGTCTGCATAGTGAGTTCCAGGACAGCTGGGGCTACAGGGAGACCCTGCTTCAAAAACCCCAAAAAAAAAAAAAGACTTCTGAATCAGGTCTGATGGCACAAGTCTATGATCTCAGCTGCTTAGGAGTGACCATAGGGAGACCCTGTTTCAAAAAGACCGAAAGAAAAGAAAAACAAAACAAAAAACACAACACGGCCTCCCTATTAAATGATAACACCCTAGTCATTTCCTACATATTCAGTGATATTAAGAACACTTATACTGGGGCTGGAGAGATGGATCAGAGCTTAAGAGCACTTGCTGCTTTTCCAGGGGAACAGGGCTTGGTTCCCAGCACCCACATGGTGGCTTATAACTGTAACTCCATTTCCAAGGGATTTGATGCCCTCTTCTAGCCTCCTTGAACAACTGGCTCATGGGTGCACTTATATACACACAGGCAAAACTCATACGCATAAAGAACATTTACACTATTGTGTAAACACTACCGTTATCTCTATAATGCAACTATTTTTTTTACATCACTATATAGCAGACATTAATGGGCGTTGAAGGGGAAGCCTCGGAATTTGAACCCAGGATCTCACGTATACTTAGCTTGACCTCTACCACTGGGCTTCACTGTTTTTAAAATTTGATTTATTTCATTTATTATTTAAAAGAAAAATTTACATTTATTTGCATGTGTGCACATACATGTGTGGAGGTCAGAGGACAATTTGCAGGAACAGATTCTCTCTATCATGCTTGTGGGCATGTGCCTTTTCCCACTGAACCATCTACCAGCCTTTAAATGGATTCTTTAATCAACCCCTTAAATGGATCTTTTGAGACAGGGTCTTGCTCTGGCTGTCCTCAGCCTTTAGCAATCCTCCTACCTCAGTCTCCCAAGTGCTGGTTTTATAAAATGTGCTACCATGCCTGGCTTTTGGCAGTGATGGGAATGAAGGGTGGTGGTGGCTTGAGCTAGGTTTTCAGTATGTATCCCAACTGTACTCATTGCAATCTTCCTGCCTCAGCCTCCTGAGGGTTGGGACCACAGGTGTATCCTAATACACCTGGTAGTAATATTTTTTGAAATCAATGAAGTTTCATAGAGAAATGGCAGTATTTCACGATCCAATCTATCTCCTTTCTGTGCACTGCTGATGAGCTATCTATCTAGACTTAGAAGTGAATAAACAACGAGAAACTGGGGGGGGCGGGGGATGAGTGTTTCCATGTATTGTAGCCCAGTTGGCCTGCAACTTTATATAGACCAAGCTGGCCTCAATCTCAGAGATCTGCCTGCCTGGGATTAAAGGCATGTGCTACCATTCCTGGCAACAGTAAGAATTCTTACAGTTTGAGTTAAGAACTGGGAGACACTGGTGCTAGAGAATAGTGAGGAAAAGGAAATGGGAAAAAGCAGGGAGAGGAAGATTCCTTTATTTAACTCAATTAAAATTAACGAGTAGAACAGTAAGATAAAGGAAAACAGGCAGTTCAAAATGACACACAAAGGAGAAACAAGAGGCTCAGGAATTTGAGCTAGTCCAGGCTACATGAGACTGTCAACAAAACAACAACTAAAAGGAAAATGACACATAAACATCAAAGTCACATCTGGAGAAAACAGAGATGGCAGCTGTCTCTATGAAACAATGCTGTCTTATTCTCTAACTTCCTCCAATAGGTGACTGAACACTTACCATCTGCCACACTTGCATGATATTGTCTTCTGATACAGAACAAATCACCCAAGGTTCATTGGGATTCCAAGAGAAATCAGAGATCTTGGCAGTGTGACCACCATGAATAAACTGAAAGAGGGACCAAAACAAAGGTTTAAATGCAGATAGAGGACATTAAAGACCACTATAAAAGTAGAGATGATCTTGGGGCTAGAGAGATGGCTCAGCTGTTAAGAGCACTGGCTACCTCTGTAGAGGACTGGGGTATGGTTCCCAGCACCCAAGTGGCAGCTAACCACTGTCCATTAATTCCAGTTCCTGGGGATCTGATGCCCTCTTCTGACCTCCCACCACCACCAATCTCAGTATGCCTCAATGCTTAGAACATACCAACAACTCTGGTGGGCCATCTTCTGCATCTTCTGGGGACTGTTCCTCTCCAATTTTACTGGACGAAAAATAAAGGTAACTCTAAGTACCTATCTTTGGAAAGTGTAACTAAAGATAGTAACTTCTAAAAGTACCTAATATAAAACCCACCTCAAATCCCAGACATTCAGCCTACGATCAGTACCACTGGAAGCCAAGATAGTCTCATTGTGAGGTGACCACTGAACCTACACACCAGGGTGAAAACAGAAGAGCAACAAATTAGAAAATGGAAAAATAAATTATACTCTACAAAGCATTGTAAACAAAAGGCAGAGAATGATATCATAGCTAAATTTCTTTTATGAAAATAACTCATTGCTAGACCTGGGATATTAGCTTGTGCTGTACTGCACAGTCCTCTCTTTCAACAAGGTTTCTCCTTCAACAAGGTCTCAAAATAATACCCAGAGCTATGGAGTTCAAGCTGGCTTCAGTCCCATCTCCCATACTGGGATTATAGGCACAAGCCACACCTGGCTTCACCTGGTATTTTTGAAGATATTAATGCTGTTCTTCTCCCAAATTATTCACCTCTAATTCTGGCTTTAGTCAAATGAAAACCAATTCTGACCTGGAAACTAAAATATAGACAGATGACACACATTCAATGATTATTTTCTCAACTAATTACGTGTGTCACAGAGCACACAAGAGACTCTGGGTTCATTTCCCAGCTACTTCTGCCCCGCCCCCCTGAAGATTCCTTACAGTGATGCTACACCAAAGTTAACAACATACATGTAACAATCACATATTCTTTGATGTTTAGTTAGGAAGTGGTGGTTCATGGTACAAAGAAGGAATCATTGACCAGTTGGTTAGGGAAGAATCTGGATTATTTTTTCAGCAAAAACACAATTATAAAGGGCAAAGTTGGATGGGGGTGGGGCACACATGCTTTTAATTATAGTACTCAGGAGGCAGAGGCAGGCTGACCTCTGTGAGATCCAGATCAGCTTGGTCTACACAGCAAGCTCTAGGCCAGAGGGGCTATAAGATGACCATCTCAAAACACCAAAATTAAAAAAAACTAAAAAACAACCCACAACAACAAAAAGACAAAATGGGTTAAACAATAATCTTTTATTATAATCATTTAAGTAATTCAGGTAGACTTTCCTTTATTACGACTTTTTTTGGACAGGGATTCTCACAGAGCCGAGTGGCTTTGATCATACTATGTAGCTGAGGATGACCTTGAATTTGTGATTTTCCTGCCTCCTCCTCCTGAGTGATGGGATTACTAGCGATAACGATTTGTCAAAAAAAAGATGTATTTTTTTTTCTTTTAAAAACCAGGTTCTCAGGCTGAAGGCATGGCTCTGTGGTTAAGAGCACTGACTGCTCTTTCTCAGCACCTACACAATGGCTTTAACTCCAATTCCAGGGGATCTGACGCCCTCTGACCCTTTTGGGCATTGTAAGACATGAGTGCGCCTACCTACATGCAGGCAATACACTCATACACAGAAAATAAAAGCTGGGCATGGTGGTGTGCGCCTTTAATCCCAGCATTCCAGAGGCAGAGTTAGGAGGATCTCTGTGAGTTTGAGGGCAGCCTAGTCTGCATAGTGAGTTCAGACCAGCTGGGGCTACAGGGAGACCTTGTCTCAAAAAGACCAAAAAAAAGAAGAAAAAAAAAGAAAAAAAAGTAAAACCACCCAGGGTCTCACTATGTAGCCTAGTGGATTCTCCTGCTTCAGCTGCCTTAATGCTGGGGTTATAAGCATATACCAGCATATTTGACTTTAGTACAAAATTTAAACTTGACAGAAAAAGACTACATACATGGCAGCTCTCATAACACTTTAACAAATTTTGAAAGCGCAATTATTTCTTGAGTCATGTCAGAGGGATCTGCATGTTAAGTAAAGAGCTTATAAGGGCTGGGAGATGGCTCAGTGAGAGCACTGGCTATGCTTTAAGAGCACTGGCTGTACTTGCAAAAGATCTGGGTTCAATTCCCAGCACCCACATGGCTGGTAACAACTGTCTGAAACTCCAGTTCCAGGGGATCCCTTTCCCTCTTCTGTCCTTTGCAAGTACTGCAAGACACAGGTGTACTTACATCCATGCAGGTATAACACTGGTATACATAAAATAAAAATAATCAAAAAGCAAGCAAAAAGCACAAAAAATACTCAGTGGTTAGAGTACCGGTTACTGGAGGACCTGGGTTTGGTTCCTAACACACACAGTGGCTAATAACCATTTAACTCCAGTTGGAGTGGGATTCAACACCCTCTCTGGACTCTGTAGGCATTGTATGACATGGTGTACTTACAAAAAAAGGAAGGAGTTTAGGGCTAGAGAGGCAACTTAGGTTAAGAGCACAGCCTGTGCAGGGTATGGTGGCACACACCTTTAATCTCAGCACTTGGGAGGCAGAGGCAGGCAGATCTCTGTGAGTTCTAGGCCAGCTGGGGCTACAGGGAGACCCCCCCCCCACCAAAAAAAACAACACGTTGTTCTTCCAGAGGACTGGGTTTGGTTCCCAGTATATATATAGTCAACAAAACACTTATACAAATAAAAATAAATCATAAAAAATGAGGTTAATGTTTAACCCAAAGGGTCAGAACACATGGAACCAGCAGTTCAGATTCTACTAAAACTAGGACATACCAAGCTATAACAAATGAAGGCATGAAGGTAAGAGAACTACGTGTAAGGAGAAAGGCCAATGAATAGGTTTGCTTCACTGTGGCGGAGACAGGGTCTCATGTAGTCCAGGCTTGCCTTAAACTCACTAGATAGCCAAAGATGAACTTCTGATCTTCCTGCTTCCACTTCCCTGGTGCTGGGATTACAGGCATGTACCGCCATGCCTGGTTTATACAAAGTTAGGGATGGAACCCAGGGCTTCCTATATGTTAGCTAAGTACTCTAGGCTTTGTGAGGTGATGTCTTTATAGGGCTATCTTTCTGCCTTAGCCTCCAAATGCTGGGATTATAGGTGTGTATCACCACATGCAGCACTTTTTTTGGTCCTTTTGAGACAGGGTCTCCCTGTAGCCCCAGCTGGCCTGGAACTCGCTATTTGACCAGGATGGTCTCAAACTCTTAAGAGATCTGCCTGCCTCTGCCTCCCAAGTGCTGGGATTAAAGGCCTGTGCCACCATGCCTGGTACTTCTTTGAGACAGGGTCTCCCTGTAGCCCCAGCTGGTATGGATCTCAGGTATCTGCCTGCCTCTGTCTCTTGAGTGCTGGGATTAAAGGTGTATGCCACCATATATGACACTAATTTTATTAATTATTCCAAGAATGCAAGTGGCCAATGGCCAGTATGAGTAAGTATAGCAACCACAAGAAAAAAACAATTCCAAATTTTAAGAAATCAGCAGAGGTACATAGAAGATTTTTATTTGTTACCAACTTTCTTAAGTGTTTCCATTCATATGCATAGATTTTCTTTTAGAAAGAGGGGCGGAGGTGGAAGAGAGGGAGAGAAAAACAGTATGGGGGGGAGGAGGAGGGTGGGGGCAGCACTGGTTTCTCTTACTTGGAATATTTCATCCTTATGTGATTCAAAGGAATGCAACTTGAGTTTCAGATTTCTCAGATCCCACAAGGCAACAGTCTACGTACATGAAAGAAAATATGAAATCAAGAACAATTTATTAAATAAGAAAACCCCGGGGCCAGCAAGATGGCTCAGTGGGTACAGGCACTTGTCACTAGGACTGTTGACCTGAGTTTGACCCCAGAACCTGCTACCCACATAGTGGAAGGAGAGAACCGACTCCCCGGAGCTGAGAGTTGTCTTCTCACCTCCACATCCATGTCATGATGTGCCTGCTACAAATAAATGAATAATAAATTCTTAAAACTAAAAGAAGGGGTTGGAGAGATGGCTCAATGGTTAAGAGCACTGACTGCTCTTGCAGGGGACCCGGGTTTGATTCCCAGCACCCACATGGTGGCTATGAACCATCCTTAACTCCAGTTCCAGGGGAATCTGAAGCCCTCTTCTCATCTTCGTGGCATTGCATGACACGGGTGCACTCACATACATGCAGGCAATACTACTCATACACATAAAAAAATGAAAGAAAGGAAGAAAGAAAGCTAAAATAATCCCATTAATGGAGTAGGCTGGAGAGATGGCTCAGTGATTAAGAGCACTTATTGCTCTTCTGGAGGACCCAGATGGGGTTTGGTTTCCAGCACCCATGTGGCAGCTAACAACCACCTGTAACTCCAGCTTCAGAGGACTGGATGCCCTTTTCTAGTGCCCATGTGTACCCACATACAGGTGACATCCATACACAGACACATAATACATTAAATAAAAATATCTGGGCTGGAGAGATGGCTCAGCAGTTGAGAACACTGGCTGTTCTTGAAGAACTGGGTTCAATCCCGCCCAAGGCAGCTAACAACTGTCCCTAACTCCAGTTTCAGGGAATCCGAAGGCCTCTATCCATCCTCTGCAGGCACTGCACAACATGGTACATTACATATATGCAGGCAGGCAATACATGCATACACATAAAAGCATATATTTTTTAAAAATCTGGGCTGGAGAGATGGCTCAAGCACTTATTGTCCTTCCAGAGGACCAAAGTTCTATCTCCAGCAATCTCCACACAGTTCACAAGCTGTAACTCCAGCTCCTGGGGAATCTGATACCTCTGGCCTCCACAGGCACCTGCAATCACATGCACATACTCACACACATGATTTTTTAAAAAGTCTTAAAAGAAAGAAAAAAGACACTGGGGAAATTTACTCTATGTATCCTCTTAAAATAAAACCAACTGACCTTGTCAGCTGATCCAGTGGCAAGAATGAACTCACTATAAGGATTGAAAGACAGGCAGTTCACTTCAGCAGTGTGAGCATCAACTGAATGGCTTGGTTTGGAAGTATTGTTTGAACGAGTATCCCAACTTCAGTTAAAAAAGAAAAAGTGAACAGGAAAAAAGCTTGAGATGGCGAGTAATAGAAAACTCTGAAAATATATGCGTAAAAAAATAAAACAATGGGTTCCACTCACATCATAAGCTTCTGATCATCAGCAACTGACCCAAACAGAGACTCATGAAGTAGATGCCAGGAAACATCTTCTACTACTGCTGTATGTCCTGTAAAGATGGTCTTTGCATCCACCACTTTTCCTTCCTTTGGAACTGCACTGATGTCCCATAGGCAGATGGTCTTAAATGTAAAATTAACCATTACATAAAAGATTCTCACTTCCCCACATATCCCAAAAAAGAACCAATTGGTAACAATCCCAGATTTGCTTTAAAACTGGAAGGATACGCACATGGTCATCTGAAGCACTAAGCAAGTGCCCACTGAGATTTGGGTTCCAAGAAAGCCCATAGCCTTCTTTCTGATGTCCACGGAGACGCAAGTCTGGGTTGCACTCTCCAGAAGGGTCTGCAAAGTAACAAGTATATGAAGAGTATCCTGTCCATTGTCTTTCTGGGTCTACTTAGCAAAATGAAATGTTCACCATGATGTCTTAACTCATCATGGCCAAATATATAATGCTTAAGATACACATAATTATTCTACACTAACAAAAGCATTGTTGTTTCACTTAAGCATAAGAAAATACACATAACAACACAAATCACAAGATCTTAAATTATAGAACAGGGAATTATATGCAGAACAAGGGGAGCCTGTATCTGATTAGAAAGGGGGAGGTACCTGGTTTAGAAGGATGCTTTGTGTAATCAAAAACAAGAACATCACTGGATGGAGTCTTTGTTGCAATAATGCAAGGGTTCTGGGGCATGTAACGGGCCCTGTTTACTTCTCCTTCATGGTTGATCTTGATTTCTATTTCAATTTTGCCACTGACAGAGCCAAAACCTCCAAATTCTGTATATATAAACAAAGCATTTTATCAACAAAGTGGTATAACAGAAGAAAGACCCTAGATATCTACCTCTTCAAATTACATTATTAATTATAAAGAGACTCATTTTTTTTCTTTTTGGTGTTTTTGAGACAGGGTTTCCCTGTAGCCCCAGGTGACCTAGAACTCACTATGTAGATCAGGCTGGCCTCCTACTCACAGAGATCCACCTGCTTCTGCCTCCCCAGGCTGTGTGCCACCAGGCCTGGCTTGTCTCTCATTTTTGCTTTGCAGACAGGATATTACTATGTAGCTCAGACAGGCCTTGAGCTCACCACATGGAGGTTCTCCACCATTCCACCCACATTCAGAAGCTCATTCTATACCTCAGGCAATCCTCCTGACTGAGTGCTGAGATTACAAGCATGTTAACCACTATTTCTTGCTAAAAGGGGTTTCAGCAAAGTTTTCAACTCTTATTTGACAATAAAATTATTTGTGGAATAAACAAAACTCAAATTACTTTTTTTCTTCTTCTTCTTTTTGAGACAGGGTCTCCCTGTAGCCCCAGATGTCTTGGAACTCACTCTGTAGATCAGGCTGGCTTTGAACTCACAAAGATTCGCCTGCCTCTGCCTCCCAAGTGCTGGGATTAAAGGCGTGTGCCACCACACCTGGCATATACTATTTTTTTTTTTTGATGTGTATGAGTTTTGCCTGTATGTATATGTACCACATGCCTGTCTGGAAGCCAGAAGAGGATATCAGATCCCCTGGAACCGGAACTGCAGACAGTTATGAACTGTCATGTGGTTGCTAGGAATGGAGCCATCTTTCCAGCCCTGTGGCACATTTTTTCCTTTGGTCTTTTTGAGACAGGGTCTCCTTGTAGTCCCAGCATTCTGAGACCTGGGATTAAAGGTACGTGCCACCATGCCTACCTGTGGTACAAATCTTTAATGCCAGCACTTGAGAGGTAGAAGCAGGTAGATTTCTATGAATTTGAGACCATTATGGTTCTGGTTATGTCTTAACAGCTCAAGCTGGCTTTAAACTCAAGATCCTCCTGCCTCAGCCTCCCAAGTACTGAGATGAACAGTTTATATCTATAGCTGTGTGTGTTCCAAGGGAATTACTATTCAAATCACAATAAAAACACTTCAAGTCAGGCACAGCATTTCATGCCTATAAGCCCAGTACTCAAAGGTTAAGACAGGAGATCACCAGAAGCTCAAGGCTAGCCTTGACCACATAAGGAATTTCAGGCTAGCCTAGGCCACAGAGTGAGGCTGTCTAAAAGCGCCCCCAACAATCAAATCCCCCACCCACCCAAGTAAGCAAGCAACCAACCAAAATAAAGCTCCCTCCCCTCCAAAACTGCCAACATCCCAGAAAGAACAAGCCTATCAACACAAACCTATCCTTCCCCATTAGTACTATACCACACAAGGTAACCGCCACTGATTTTTAACACTCAACCACTTTTTGAGCCCATACACCTTTCTAGAATCTCAAATTTTCACACCAGGAATCAAGTAACCAAATCATTTTATCATGATTCAATAATTTCATATTATGTTTATTTCATCTTTTAGGTAAGAAGCCATCTACTTAGCAATCATTCAAGAAACTCTCCTCTTGTGTCTGTGGAGCTGGGCATAGAACCCTGGACATCACAGATGCTAGCCTAGTAGATGCTCTACACTGATACACCCAGCCACCAAGAGACTGAGATATTCTGACATACCTGTACATCATTATTGATAAGATCAACACCATTCCCTCCCATAAGGACCTAGCTTATCCACTGATCTATAAGGTTATTTCTTATGGGAAAGGGATAAAAGGAAAAATGAAAAAACAGTGTAACCCTAGGGTATTGTGATTATCAAATACAAAACTCCATAGTTGTTCTGCATATTAAAGTTCTGTTATTTAATTGGGCAGGGGGGGCACAGTGCTTTTCTGAGATGGTAGAGACAGTTTCGTCGATATGTAAGCCAAAATGGCCATGAATTTGTGGCAGTCTTTCCCCCTGTGCCTCCCAAATGCTAGGATTGTAGGCATGGACCTGATTTTTCAAAAACAAAATACCCCCCTCCCCCAACACAACTGAAGCTAGAGATGGCTCAGTGGTTAAGAGAACTTGCTGCTCTTGCAAAAGACCCTGGGGTTCGGTACCCAGCCACTCACATGGCAACTCACAATTGCCTGTAACCCCAGTTCCAAGGGATCCAATGCCCCTCCATAGGCACCCCACAACCATTCCTGCAATATTAAGCATGAGAGGGATATGGTCTCTCTAACACAAAGTCTTTTGGGGCTGGTGAGATGGCTCAGCAGGTAAAGGAAAGCCTGACAACCTGAACTCCAACCCCATGACCCACATGGTAGAAGGTTCTCTGACCTCTACACACATGCTCTGGCACACTCCAATCTATACACTTATACATGCAAAATTAAAAAAAAATATATATCTTCAGGTGATGTAGCTCAGAGGTAATGCACACTTAGCACTGACTTCTTCACCTCCTCATAGCAAGCTAATCAAAAAAAAAAAAAAAAAAAAAAAAACAGGATTTTAATCTCATATTTAACAAAAAGGA